TTTGATTTCCTTTAATGGGATAAACATCTTGTATTATTGATGTACATGTAAGGTATAGTTTAACCTTTTGTTACTTAAACTTTAAAGCTTTTAGGTTGCGTGATTTTACCCCTATGTATTTGCCTAACAAGAATATTCCTACCAAAACCAGTTTTTGTATTAAAAAAAGACACGGGGTCATTATTCTATGGGGTCATTTTTCTACAACCCACACGGAGAAAAATGACCCCCAGGCCATAATTTCTACGAAAAAGGGGGTCATTTTTCTACGTAGAATATTGACCAGGGGGTCAAATTTCTACGTAGAAAAATGACCCCCGGTCAATATTCTACGGGGGTCACTTTTCGTCGTTACACCTGATTTCTTTCTTTATAACTGTTTATAAACTTCACATTAAACATGTAACACTATAAATATTTAGTGTTTGATAGTTTACTAGTAGTGCTAGTTGTTTTTTTGTTTCTCTGTTTCCTTTGTTTTTATGACTTCTTAACTTTTTTCTTTGTCTCGAGGAAGGGGCAGGTCGTCCCGAAAATATGACAATTTTTATTGTTCGTGTCGTTGGTCATTTTTAGTGCTTTATATATACAGTACCAACCAGATCAAACCTGACACAAAGCAGTCCCAGAGCAGTCCCGGGGACTGCTTTCTGGGACTGCTAAAGCAGTCCCACAGCGGTCCCATAGCAGTCCCACAGCAGTCCCAGAGTAGTCCCACAGCGGTCCCAGCAGTCCCAGCGGTCCCAGAAAGCAGTCCCATCAGTCCCAGAAAGCAGTCCCAGCAGTCCCACTGGGCGGGGTTAATTTATTCAATGGGCGGAGCTTACTCAGAAATGAGATTACCAATAAACAATGTAACTATAAAAGGCAGTTGAAATTGCTGATGCATTTCTTTCTGAGCAGTATCAACAAATATTCACAATTCCTATGCAGCAGTCATTTCTGAACTGTTAAGAAAATCACAGTACACGTATACATGTAGAAACAAATAATAAATATTGAACAAAGAAGACGTTCACACTTACTAATAACATGAATATTTAAACACAGTTGTGTGGTATATTAATTTTTCACCAAAATAAATCAATTTCTTTTTTTTCTGTGATTGATATTGGTTTTTATATTTATTTATTTTTTATAGAAAACTAAATTGTTTATTTTCTATCAGAATTAGCTTTAAATAGATCTTATAATTATAGAGTAAGACCGATTCCCATACTATACTCTGAATGCATTTTTCTTAAGTACTGGAGCTTTTCAAAAATTCTTTGTTTTAAAAATTTTGCCGAGTATTATATTTCAGTCATGATTATTTTCACTGACTTGCCAATTTAATTATCGTTAGATTCTCTATGTAACAGAAAACAGTAACACTCAGTTTTAAGTGTTTTATTATGTAAGCGTTCGAGTGTACATCTGTAAATCACGCGAATGGAACCCTCATATTATGGTCAAAATTAATTAATCCCGAAATAAATTTATACACTTTTGTTGAAACAAAGATTTTTTGCAGTACATAGATTGAAATTAGTGTCATTGTTGACCAGCACGTTCAGTGAGATGTGTTACACTTATATCATGCATTGACTTTCTGCTAATCATGCCCAAAGGCGCTTGAAACCTCAGGTGTTGACACCATTTTATATATTTGTATCGATTTTTATTAATCGGCCAGGTATAATTAAAACACACACACACACACACACACAAACACACACACACACACACACACACAAATAAAAAAATAAGAAATAAATCACAATTCCCGATATTTTCAAATGTTTATTTTTAAAATAAATGTACTCTTTTAATAACTTGTTTATAAATTAAAAACTAATTCATAAATAAATTCCCCCAATACTTGTTCACATTGTTTTAACGACGAAAGAATGGTAGAATAATTTTATTTCATGGTCATTTAATGGATTATTAGGTTTTATTTGAGGGCAGTAAAAAATGGCATGGAATGTTCTTTTTTAGCATGGTATTAGCTTTTTCAATTAAAAAAAATCCAGTAAAGTATGTCCCTCTGAATATCTTACTGTAATGACAAGTTTGTTTGTTTTTTAAATAGTGCTAATGCAAACTTTGGGTACATAATTTGATAGCATTAATTAATTAAATAGGCCTAAATATTTTTTCAAACACCTGTATCAAAGTTTGATATAAGGGATAAAAGTTATCTCCTGACTTCGCTTTTTAACCAGTTTCATTTAGACTACAATTGTGTAAATGTACAGCCCCTGAAGAAATTTAGTAATTACATGCATATCCATCTCTACATATCAAATTTTTGTAAGAAATCCTGCTTGTTTTTTTCTTTATCTTTAATATTAAACACCTCTCTGCTGAAAGTGAACAAAACAACAACCGGGAGCCTGCAAATTCAGAATACACGAGGGGCGGAGCTATCATGTCACTAAGAACCTTTTTCACGCATGAATGAACAAAGCAGTCCCAGAAAGCAGTCCCAGAGAAGTCCCACAGCGGTCCCAAAGCAGTCCCGGTGACTGCTTTCTGGGACTGCTTAGGTATCAGGTTGGGTCTTGCTGGTAATATATATATATATATATATATATATATATATATATATATATATATATATATATATATATATATATATATATATATATATATATATATATATATATATATATATATATATATGATGTAAATTCTAAATTATTCAAATTATGTCCGGAGATACATGAAGGATGCGAGGAGAACTTAGGTTTAGAATTTCACTATAGTGAAATGAAATATGGAGATAACAAACAGTATTAATATTCAATCTCAAAGTCCATTTAAACAATACAAATCGGGAGCAGAGCAAACACGGAAACAAAAACACCAGAGGCTGGTTAAGGTGCCATGGAGGTCACAAAAAAGACACTTTTGAAAGCTTCCGGACACAATATAGATTCTACCTTGGCGGAATAACCCAGTATCCGCTGTAGAAATTACCAGAAAATATATGAACATGAGATTTCCGCCTTGTTTCCTTGAAGTTTCCCGATTTTCTTAAAATTTCAAATACTAGTACACTCTTTTCTTCTCCCTGAAAAGCTAAGTCCTGATTTGTAATTATAACTATACGAGCATCATGTAGTGTAGATTTGATTTTAATCAAATCACAGCCTCAGGAGTAAGTTGGCCATTAAAAAGACAAATATTTTCTATTCGAAAATTTGTGAAAAAACCTTTTCAAATTATCATTTATCATTAATTATTTCTGTGACCATTTTCTTGCATGGAACCGTGACTCGATCAACTTGCATGTATATATATGTATGCGAGGTTGTTTGCATATAAAATTGATAATAAGTAGCTTAGTTTGTATCACTTGAAAAGAAACTAAATTTAAAAAGGGAAATACTTTTTTCCGTTTTTTTTTAGTTTTTACTTTTTTTCTATGAAAATTTTTAATCAGATATTGATCATGCACCTGTGGTAAACTTGAAAATTAATAGCTTTTTCACCAATGATGAAAAAATTGATATAATGTTTTGCATAGCTTTTGATCCCTTGGATGATAAAAATCACTGCCTTAACATCTTTGACAAATGAATATTCATTAGAAAACACTATGATTTTCAATTTTTTATGCTCAATACTTATTGTATTTTTTTTTCCAGAAAGTAAATGTTTTACTTCATCTCCTCAAATGTAAATTTTTGTCATGTACTTATGATTCAAAGAAACTGTGATGGAATTTCATTTTTCTGATTAAAGTATGAAAATTAAAATGAAAATTAAAACACATGACTAGTACATGTAGTTACAGAGTAGAGGAACTCGGAATAGGCAGTAAGTGATTATTTGATGACACCTGTATGAGACGGACTTGCCTAAACTCACTTTATTGGTCCATGGTAAAGCTAAGGTGATATGTGTGAGTCTAGAGATCTGCGGTGAAAATCCAAAAAGTTGTTTCAAAGTTTGTTTTTTTTAACAATAAGATGCATATCAATTATTCTATTTCTTTCCAAAAATGGAAAGAAAGAAAAAGAAAAAAAAGACATCCTTGTGCAAACCTCTGCATAACCCATTGGAAACTCAATATTAGGAGAAAAATACATGGCATGCTTATGTCCCTTGTTTATTTGCGAAATCGGTTAAAATGAATATTCTGATCACTCATAAAATCTAATGGTTTACTAATAAAATCTATCGTTTACTTCTAATGCTATTTACATCTAATTTCAAAAGCAGAAAACATTCATTTTCCGTACAATTAGATTCAATATAAAATATGAGCATACTAGAGAATTATTATTCATTTTCCCAAACATATAAGTGCAGGACGTAACTATTAATAACCAGACAAAATAAGAAACTATGACAGGTGAATATATTGTTCCTGTTACCATATACATATATTTGAAATCAATTTATTGAAGGAAACATATCAACAACTATATGATATTGCCAGGAAACACTTCAAAAAATCTAATTTTGTATCTAATTACTCTTTTACATAATATAATAAGGAAAGTTCCTAAAATATTTCTCTGATATTCCTTTCCTGATTCGAATATTCTAGCTTAAGCTGAAAATAAATATAGCTCTTGTAGCTCATTACCGAATACATGATGATTGTTTTTACTTTAAAAAAGGAACATTAGATATAAATTTTAAGGAATTTTTACAAATATAACAATAATAATGAATATTAATTAGTATCGGTCACGTGACCATTAATTCATAAAAGAAAAAGAAAATGCACATTTTCCAAATTTCATTCAACATATATATATATATACATACATACATATATATATATATATATATATATATATATATATATATATATATATATATATATATATATATATATATATATATATATATATATATATATATATATATATATATATGGAATATCTCTGTGAAAAAGACAACAACCATATACATGTATGTTTACAGATCTGAAATTTTTACACAACTCTAGTCTTCAATGCATCTAGCTATAGTGTATTAGTCTTATTTGTTTAAAATCACACTGCGTACGGACATTGAAAACTCAGTTTTGAATACATGTGGTCGATCACTTATTGACAAGGTCATAAAATATCCACTTCGGATATTTTTTAAAAAAGTATGCTGCGCCCATCGCATATGTTGAACCGATATGCACCGGAATGACAACTGTTGGTGAGCCAAGGTCCTTAAACCACTCTTCCTCAGCCTCGTGCAAGAAAAGTTTCATCTGAGAATAGCTACCAGTCATTATCACACAACGAATCTTTCTCTCTTCAAAATTTTCTTTGTGTTCCTTAATGATCTCCTGGGTACTGTCTCTGACATAAGTAAAAATTGATTTCAATAAGGACCATTTAAAAATGATAGTACATCCACTATCGTTCTTTTCAACTTCTCCTCCTTGTTTTGCCACACGGTCCTCGAAATCAGACATACTAATTTTATCTCCTTCAAATAATTTGAATAACGTTGGAGACAATTGGAACTCATATTTTTCATTTTCGTCCATGTTTTCGCGCATTTTATTTTTCCGATCCTCCAACAGACTGAGCAAAGAAATATATTCGCTCTCATATTTAGTTTTCCATTTATAAAAAATATTTGGTGTAACTACATTTTTAAACAGCGTCACAAATTGATCCTCTGGTGTTATTCTCCATTTTTGTATGTATGGCGTACCAGTAATTTTGTCTGGACTCTTTGAATTCACTGCTTTAAGGAATGTTAGGTTGCAATATTCTGAAATGAATATTATATAGTATATATGATGCGAAAAGATTAGATATTAAAACATGAAGAATATCATCTTGTCGTTGAAATATTCATTAGTATTTGTACAACTCGTCTATATCATTATTACTATTATTTAAATCTGAGACCTACGAAATATTTCATTGCAGTTTGAAACTTTTATAAGGACATTTTCTGGATTAATTCTAAAATGCACAGAGGTATATGCATAAAGAAATATACGACTGCATCGTACAGTCTGAAAACTAAACTAGTCTTTCTAGATATCTAAACCATAAATTCATATGGGTTCTTCTGCGATTTTATTCTGAATGAAGTGTAGTTTTCGAATTCATATACATCCTCATTATCAACTTGGAAGAAACCATTTCTAAATTTTGAGCTCAGTGTATTTTATATGTGAATTTCTTTGTGAAGACATAATTTAGAAAAATCATTTTTTAATTGGTGCTTAGGAGTTTTTAAATAGAAGTTTTAACTTTGAAAAAAATACTAGTAATTTAATTAAGTGCACAAACATTTATTATGAAAAACCACATGAAGTATTACTGATTGAAGGACTCTTGCTTAATACTTACTCGATCCCACATGTAGATTGACATATGTTGTGTTTTCGTTGAATGTCAAGTTGTCAACGTTGAAATTCAAACAAGTGACAGATGCTTTAACCCCATTAATATATGGAGAAATGGCCACCTCTCTCAATTTAATGTGCAACTGCTCTTTCTTCACGTCTTTATTCAGATCGTTCTATTAGTAACAAAAATCAATGCCAGAATGATTTCTTTACACAACTTCATATTAGTACATGGCACATATATTTTATCCAAATTTATTAAACATGTTTCAACAATAAATTTGATTCGTTTGTAATGTATTTAAGCTTTCAAATGTATCACGAAATATTTCAAAATTATCATTAATTTGCAAACAATGCACTTGATAATGTCTTAGGTCATATCTTTGCAGGAAATATGTCAAAAGCAATATATTTGTGTTTAAATTGCAAAGACGGTATTTGAGTGGTGAACTCTGTGTAAATCGATATACGGTCTGTGAGGAAACAGATTATAAGTAAATGTTTAAGAAGGGGATTAGTTTCCATTGTGGCAATGAGGCAGCTAGTTGTCTCACTAGATTTTCAGCACCATCCCCTTCCCATAATATATAAAACATTGCTGAATCCAAAGGACACCAAACTCCGTAAAAGTTTTAAATTTAAAAAAGTAAAATATGTATTCATCTTTAAAAGTGTTAGAAGTTTGAATTAACATTTTTATTTACTCTACTAAATACTTTTGAAATATGTAATATCATATGCATGCTGAGGTCTTCAATTATGAAACTGGTAACATTACGAAATTTCCGTAGAGGACAAGTATGATTTTTACATTCTAAACCCCCAAATTCATTTTGCGTGGAGTTGCTGCGGGCCTGAGGGGCCCCATACTCCCGGCAGCACTAGTTTTGCCTCACTTGAATTTTATGTTACGCTATCTCTCTTCATTTAATCAAAACGTTAATAACATTGTAGGAAGAGATGTTACGCGATGAGAAAAATACTGACAAACGCACCTTTCCTATTGATACACTTGTTTGCAAAATTATTACTAAGTGGTATAAAAAGTTTGAATTATGTGTGTGAAATGTATTATGAAGAGTATAAATTTTCTTAAAACTCGATACGTAGTGTTTTTGACCTTACAAAGCTTTTATGCTTGCTCCAAGGTATGAAAGTTCAGATATCAATGAAATAATTTTTTTTCATATGACAACTTTCGTATTTTCACAATTTATCACAAGACCTTTCAGTATTGTCAAATTTCTACGGCTTCCTTTATTTTCGCACTATTGTGTACAATTAAAATCATTTCAATATTATTTGTTAATATAACATTTCATGATTAAATATTACCATTGTTCTATCAAAAGCGCCTCTAAGATCTTCGACGTGGCTTTTCCAGTGATGAGGTACAGTGATCACACAGTGCATATTAAATAGCCCTGATTCACGTGACATTTCTTCATGTGCCTGAGAACCATGGTCAGCAATTTCCTTGAAAATTTTCTTCACTAGGAAGCCAATTATATTCTGAAAAACTTCCTTTACTTTCACCGTACCCAGTTTAGAAATCTGTGATATTAAAATAGTAAGAAATTGAGAAATAGTTAGAAGCAAAAAGTGCGCAAATTGTACAAACAACATTTTAATATTTTATTGATGAAGCGTTTGAAAACTTAGTAATGCGTAACCTAGATAGAACGTTCTATCGTTAAAATTATGTTGTCCTACGGACCTGGGATTGTTCCGAGACACAGTTATATTATTCTAACTATACTTAACCGTGTAATTACATTATCATTCCAATATTCTTTATCCAGTTCGTCATGATCAAGAAAAATATATTCACTGCAATCTTCTCTATTTTCAGTAAACATTTTACGGGCTTTGTCTCCAAACTCTATTACTTCACCAACTTTTGTAACAAGAGCTCCAATAATTTCATGATTTCCGAGGCTTTTTACATCTTCTGGAAATTTTGGATCCAAATAGGCCATTCCAAAATGTTTGTCACCAAAATAAATCGAGTACACCCAAGAGTTTTCTACAATGACAAAATGGTGTAAAGTGTCAATTAGTAAAAATATACTTGCAATGCACAGAAAAACAATTAGTATGAAAACCATCACTCAGCATTTGTCTTAGTATATTTTTTTTTGCTGACAAGGTCATTGTATCGACAATAAAACTTGCAAAATAATGACTTCAAACGAACAGTTTGAAAGCAAAGATATGTGATACTCCAAATGTTATGATGATAATAATAATAGTTTAAAATTTTGAAAAACTTCGATAATGTCTAACTCTATACCGTTACAAGAAATAACATATTAAGCGAGTAAATAAATAAAATAAATAAGTAACAAAAATAAAAATACGACAAACAAAATTTTAAAAACTAAAGCTTTAAGAAAAGAAACTTTTCAAAAATGCTCCCGAGATGTTTGATATAGATATAAGATACATGTATAAGAATAGTAATAGCAGTTATTCATGATAACTCAAAGAATAAGAGAATAAGTAAAGTATTTTTTTTTATATCAATAGAACCCCGGATCTATTTTCAACCCAGGTCAATACGTAGTATTCAACGATACATCGGAAAAGGTAAGCCTAACGGTAAATTTCAAAATATAAGTAGCGCGTAATATATATAATATTGATATTCAAAAACGTCTTTTAAAAAAATTATTTAAGAACTCCCGATCCACAAATGTTTCCTTATAAGTATTCGTTCTTAATACATTCATCTTCCTGTAACCATAAGTGTAAATGACAATGCTTTGCAAGCAAACCTGTACACATATGCATGTATGTACAATAATACGAAGGTTGTCCGGTAAAATTATGGACAAAGCGTTTTTTCTCGAAAAATAATGGGCGCACTAAGCTGAAATTCTCAGCAAATGTTTATTTATTATATTTAAGTGCATCTTAATCTGTTTGATAAAATATAGAAAAAATAAAGACTTATTATGCTAGAATGTGCATGGGGTACGGTCCTACGGCACACGATAAAAAAACAAAACAAGAGGCCCATTGGCCACATCGCTCACCTGAGTAACTTTGGCCATGCTGTTCTTGACCAGATTTCCACATAAGTTCCAGCTTCCACATAAGTTTCAGCTTTTCTGGTCCAGTGGTTCTTGAGAAGAAGATTTTTAAAGATTTTCCCTCTATATTTCACTGTAAAACTTGGATTCCCTATTATGGCCCCGCCCTACCCCTCATGATCTGAACCATTTAGAATCTACACTACCCCAGGATGCTTCCACATTACTTTCAGCTTTTCTGGCCCAGTGGTTCTTGAGAAAAAGATTTTTCTTACATATTTCAATGTAAAACCTGGATTCCCTATTGTGGCCCCGCCCTTCCCTCGGGGGTCATGATTTGAAAAATTTAGAATCTACACTACCCCAGGATGCTTCCACTTAAGTTTCAGCTTTTTTAGCCCAATGGTTCTTGAGAAGTTTTTAAAGATTTTTTCTATATATTTCAATGTAAAACTGGGATTCCCTATTGTGGCCCCGCCCTAGCCCCGGGGGTCACGATTTGGACCATTTACAATCTACACTACCCGAGTATGCTTCCATATAAGTTTCAGCTATTCTGGTCCAGTGGTTCTTGAGAAGAAGATTTTTAAAGATTTTTAAAGATTTTTTCTTACATATTCCAATGTTAAACTTGGATTCCCCATTGACGTCCCTCCCTCCCCCCGGGAGTCATGATTTTAACAATTTAGAATTTACACTACCCCAGGATGCTTCCACATAAGTTTCAGCTTTTTTGGCCCAGTGGTTCTTGAGAAAAAGATTTTTTAATGACCCCACCCTTTTTTGTCTTTTCTTGATTATCTCCCCTTCTAAGGGGACTTGGCCCTTTATTTTAAGAATTTAAACTCCCCTTTATCCAGGGATACTTTGTACCAAGTTTGGTTAAAATTGGCCCTGTGGTTCTTGAGAAGAAGTTGAAAATGTGAAAAGTTACAAACGGACGGACGGATAGACGGACAGACGGACGACGGACAACGGGTGATCAGAAAAGCTCACTTGAGCTTTCAGCTCAGGTGAGCTAAAAAGGGGGTTTCATTAGAGAATACACGAGTATTATTTCAAAATAAAAGTATTAAATAGATAAGATTGGGGTAAAAATTATCTTATTTTTAAACCACTTTCTATTGTGTGGTCTTTTGGAAAATTTCAAGGCATTTGCTTAATTTTTAGCAGTTTCCTGAATATTCGAAATGGGAAAGAGGTAAACACAACACAAGAAAAATGGTGACGTTTGATGACGTTACGGCGCACCGCAGAGCAGTTCAGTTTCATTTAGATGTAGTAATGACACCCTAAGCGACTTTAAATGAATACAAAATAAAAATATATATAAAAATATCACTAGATCTTGAGTATACAAGTGAAATGGAAGTTTTCTTAGCTAATTTTTTTTTGATCGAGCCCCTGGGTAGAACAAAACATTCAACAAACAGCTATGGTAATAGCGAAAGACACTGTCACTGTAGACCGTCGATAAAAGATTGCCTATTATTGAATGATATTGAGAATACTGTCCACAACTTACTAATAAATCCTCAGAAGGTCTCATGTGTGCGAAATCGGTTCCTCGACTGTTTAGGGAGGAATAAAGGGAAACTAAAGTATGTGCATCAATGAAATTCTTAAATTTATGTGGGACTTATCCAACTCATTTTAGCAAAGAGGAAACGTAACGCTGCTTTAGACACTTTGACGTTGTCATCAGTGCGCCGTAAGGTGATACAACACATAACATAAAATCTCATAATTTCATTATTTATGGATATATCCATTTGAAATTTGCTATGTATATCAATGAAAAATGTACTAAAGAGAGGTGAAAATTTTAGAACGCAGTGGTGATTATTTTCCACTCTAGACAACTTGTCCACTATTTTACCGGACAACCCTCGTACAAAGACATACATTTCCCAAGAATGGTTTATTTATTTATTTATTGCATAAAAGTGGCGTTACCTTCGTTTGTTTGGTTTACGCCTTTGTCTAAAAAGGTAAGAAAAAATTATTTAATTTTAAATCAACATTTTCATAACAACCGAGAGCACTTTAGTTTAGTCTCATTTCTCGCTGAAGCAACAAAAAATGAATCTATGATTATTATTCCTGAATATGTATGCATAGAAAAAATTCAGAGAAACGAAATATGTTCGTTTAAGACAAAAACACATCTTATCTTAAAAACAAAATTTTGACGTACATGCATGTATTCCCGTTTATTTCCAAAAGAAGCGGTTATGCAATATGATAAAATTAAATATGATCTGGAAAGCTAAATTGTGGAAATTAATTATTTTGACATTACACATTCAATGACAATGCATTACATTTACAACAATTAAAATAATCTTATTTTTCTGAATGTTAGAAATAAAGGTGATACTTTTGAGGGTTTGTGTTTTACGCGGTGAAAATATCAAAGGGATCTTTTTCACAGTGAAATAACATTAAAAGTGAAGTTAGCTCCCCATTTTCCTCTCCTTCTGAAAAAAAGTTCTTAAAAATAGATTACTCCCTTTTATAAACTATAGGATAGTGAGAAAATATCAACAATCTTTACTGGTGGTACCTGATTTTTTGATATTTTCACTAGCGCTTTGCACTTGTGAAAACATGATAAACAAAATCTTATTACATTTGTGAGGAAAAGTTGTATCCTGCCACAAAACATTAAATATCCTCGATAAATATACAAATACTCTCGCTAAAAGATGTCGAAAAGGCATGGGATCCTTGATTAAAATGTTAAGTAGAGTAGGAGTTTTAATCTCCATTAGCTTTCTTTTGTAAAAATTTCCTTGTTATATTTAACCCTGGTTCGAAGTCGCACAACTATATGCAAGTCTTATTATGGGTTTAAGATGAGTAGAAATTTTAAATACATAAATATATCAAAATAGACATTAGGCCTACAATGTACCTTGAACAGCTTCTTGAAGTCGCCTTTAAAGATAAAAGTTTTATCTTTTATTAAAGATAAAGATAAAAGTTTTATCTTTTATTAAAGATAAAAGTACATAGATAACAATTATGCTTTCTGTAACTGTATTCCTTGGTATTTGATATAGAGGAGTTCCATATGATACAGCTTATATTTGTCTATTACAATTGAAGTGATTGTAGTCTTTTATTATTCCTGATAACAAGGACTATACATCAATAGTTCAAAAGGCAATTGAGCGAATATATACCGGTATCATCACATAGATTGTGCATTTTAATAATGACGCTATTTAATTTGTTTACACTTAAAGATATAAAAGTTTTAAAGTAAAATGTTAAGATAACGAACAGTGAGAGACTTCAAAAAAATCTATAAACCCTATAAATATGTGAAAAAGACATATATCAAGGACCCCTGGAAATTCCAGAGGTGGGATCAGGTGCCAAGGAGAAGTAAACATCCCCTGTTGACCGGTCACACCTGCCCTGAGCCCTGTGTCTCGATTATGTAGACGAAACCTTCAATAGACAATTCAGTATAAATACAAAGGTCTAGAAATTGGTATGAAACAAGTCAACCAAAATACAACCCAGTTTTAGGTTATATTTGCTAACAAAGTCATTATAACGACCAAATTATTTATAAAATGCCGACTTTAAACGAGGTTGTTGAAATCTTCGTATCATCAACTTATCAGTAAGTAGCATGCCTCACTTTAAAAATTGATCATACTCGGAGCAAGCTCTTGATTAGCGAATAAGGAGACATAAACACCATAAGCAGGTGATACTGGAATATTACTACATCAATAAGAGAAGTTGATGATGGAAAAGCTGAAGCCATCTCATTTGTCATACAATTTAGATATTAATTAGCCTTTATCGTCTCAAATCAGTAAAACATCCAAGAATGAAACAGATGTGGCAGATTCTGTGGTGTCTGTTTTTTCAAGTTCAATGGGATATATCGAATCGATATAGGAATGGAAATAACTATAATTAATTGATTAATTGATAAAACATCGTCGATACAGTCATTTAGGGTATTCCAAATCACCCCGCATTTCGCGACTCTCGGTAATTAACCTTGTCGCTGTACCTCGCACAACACCTGCACACGTGTAACAGCCAAACAGTCACTAACAGCATGGTTTTACTTATTACATACAAAAAATTAAGAGGTAAACATTATGCGTTAATTAAAAAAATAATAATTTAATTCATTAACTTGCTATCCTTTTCGAAGAAAAAGCCTGTGTAGAAACGCTCCATGGTATTTCTCATCAATATCGTGGCGTTGTTGGTGGATGTAACATTATGTATTAGGTATTGACAGAACGGCAATTTTATAAGCTTCCATGAGCATTCATTGTTTTTTTAACACCTCAAATATATATAAGTTACGGCCGCTTTTGTAGACCCCAACAGTTTGGGAATTTCGAACCACGTGTGTATATGACCGCAGCCGAATAAATTGCACACGCTACACACTCGTTATATGTCAGATATTTTTATAATATTGGCTTTCTTAAATGCAAGGAGTATGAAAGTAAAGATTCGACAAAGAAAGAGCTAACAAAACTAGCTTGGGTATATGCTTGATCACTGTTGATCCTTTTATCATACAAATACGGTCATGCATGCATATAAGTACACATATATGTATAAGTATGCGCATATGCAAGTTGTGCAGAGATAAATTTTCATTCTTAATAACCGTGATATATAAATATGAGGTGGTATATTCCTTTTCATACATTTTTTTTATTATCAATACCATTATTTTTAATGATTTTGGTAGCCTGCTCGTAGAATTATGATTAGGTATTACGTTTTCAATGTTAATCGTTTTGCATAGAAAAAAAAATCACAAGGTTAAAAAATAAAATGACAAAATTATATTAACTTGATATTAATTTACAGTCAAGTTACATCTTTTATTATTTTCATTTTTGTTCGTATATAGTTACTTTTCTGCACGATCCGCTTCTGAGAACGCTGTTATATAGTACAAATACAGAGAGGGGAATAACTTTAAAATAAACAAGAACAATCAACAAGATATAATTCTTTTTTTCTTTAATTTTTGGAGCCTTTTGGTAAACAATATTAACTATTTCATTAATTATTATGAAGTTATCTGTCCGTTTTAACCCATTTGCCCCGTGATCCGAAATAACCGGAAGTGACCGGCAATACACTAAAAAGGTGATGTAAATATAACCCACGCCTTGATGGCTGTATCGAAGATAATCCCGCCCTTTAAAGTGGTTCTCATTTTTTTTATATATAGAATTGGCTTTCCTTTAATACCAAACAACCATTTATTAACTTTTTAATAAATTTTTGCAGTCAAAATGTAAAAGGTGATTCGGAATACCCTAAATGACTGTACATCTGAATGTCGAATTGAAGGCCACGGCTAGTGTTTTCCTCTTCTCATGTAAAAGTTTATAAACTAATTCTGCTTCAAAAGAACGTACAACAGGTCAGCTAATAAAGGAGCATAATTAGTGTCAATTGAAATTCCAACAGTTTGTTGGAAAACTTGGTCTCCAAAGGATACATAAATTTTGTCAATGAGGAACTCCATCATTCTTTTAATATCAGATAACTAGAAATCGGAATGACCACGTAGTACGTATAACCAATAATACACATGTACAAAAGCTTAATATAATATGATTGATTTTGCAATAAAATTACCTTTCTCTACTGGCTTAAGTGGAGCAACACTGGTATCTGTTTAAAGAAAAAGATTTTTTGGGTAGAATTTTAGTATCTATTTTCATTTTTTTTTTTTTTTTTTTTTTGTATTTCTGCATTTAATTAAGATTAGTGCATTTCGTGGCATTCAAATGATCCGGTATATTTCTGATCAAAAGATCACAACTTCTTCCTTTTTAGAAAATGACTACCTCTTGTTTATTGCAAGAACAAACATCCATATAATGTTACCGAGTTAAATTTGATCTGGCTCACTAAGGAAAGTTCCTTAGTTAGGCATTACATATTGGAATGACAGTTATGTGTTTTTTTTTTAACCTTTTCAACATTTAACTATTAAATTAAAATGTTATTTTTTAAAGTAATGTTTTTTTACTTGAAGAAAAAATATTAATGTGACATTATCAATTTCTTTGGTTAGATATTGTCCAAAACGGACGGGGTGCATTATTTTTAATAATTTTGAAGATTAAGAAGATAAATATGTCATAAAACAACCGTTACCATGAGCAATTTCCTTATCCGGTTTGGAGCCGCCTTTAATGATAAAAATAAACAATTTGCATTTACTGTATACAGGGTTAATTTCGCCCATGTTATTTTCGCCTTTTCACACTTGCAAACAATTTTGCCCCGTTTTAAATTCGCCCAGTCATAGATTTGTTTAAGAAATTATACTGTATTCTTTGAATTCGCCCCGTTATTGATTCGCTCAAGTAAGGGTAGGGAGAAAGGGGCGAAAATAAAACGGGGCGAAACTTTCCCTGTATACAGTACAATATTATGCTTTCTGCATACATATATGAGTCCCTCGTTATTTGATATAATGAAATTAAATAGCAGTTGTATAGGATTTTCATAAACTACAGCTAGTTTTTGACTATTACAATTGGAATTTATTGTATTTATAGATATTCCTGATAACAACGACCATATACATGTAGTTAGTACAGCAAAAGTTTAAAAGGCGATTGTGCAAATATACAGGCATATCATCTCACAGATAGGAAATATAAAAATGACATTTATGTAATTGGTAAGCACTATACCGATATGGTCTCTCAATTCGTGTGTCATGTTAGAAGCCTTAGTCCTATTTTGGCATAGACCATTAAATATAATTGTCTTTAATATTGAAAGTGTTTTATTAAAGTACCTTGATCTCAATACTTATGAATTCCATTGACTGAAAATTGGAATTGTTACGTAATATGTTATACCAATATTAAACATAATTTTACAAATGCATGGATTGCTTAAATATGATTTGATTAGAAATATAATTACCTCCCACTTCTGAAATCAGTGGGACTCCTGACAAAAGAAAAAAGATATTTAGCTTTGAAATCTACATTAAAGTGTATATTTTCGAATTTCATTTCTGGATGTAATTTCATAAAAGCGAAGATAAGTGATACATCAAATTTAGAGATTATGGTGATGATAATTTTTTTTTTAAGTAAATGCATGTTTTGGAAAAAAAACAACCTTTGATAATGTCTTACTCTTTATGAATAATAACTCTATAAACACTTTAAGTTAAAAAAAAGTACTAGTATATGTATACTAAAAAAAATATTTAAATGTAATGCATGAGAACAGGATTAGCACTAATTCATGAACTTGACAATTATTCTTTACCTGATATCTTCATTAAATTATAAAAAATGAAGTTCTTTCATCTTTCTATAACTTATATTTCTTACTATATCTTTGATATACATATTGATTAAATGAAAGAGAAGTTGATTTGAATTTTGGTTACCTTCAGGGTTTTGATCGAGCGTTCTGCAAAGTAGATTTCTATATTTATACAGCAGTATCCCTCCAGAACCACAACATATCATCATAAGACATAAGATAATAAATACTATTGAAATGACCAGCCATACGTTTTCATCACAGGAACATGTGTTTTTATCTCTGTCAAAAACAATTAAAATTATTAGATTTCAACATAATTTAAGACACTTCGTTTTAGAGGTCTAACAAATTTATAGTTTTGAAGTAAGCTTACCTTGTGTCATCAGAACAACTTGGTAAAACGTGTGTGTTGTTTGTGCTTTTGATGTAGCTATAACACCTTTGATCTGAAATTTCAATGTAGAATAATTAGTACTGTTTTCTTATTCCCACAATCATGAAGACGCCTCTTAACTTCTTATTTATTCTGGATCACATTGAGAAATAAATATTTATCCTTAAGCTTACTTCAATTTGTTTTCAATCTTAATTCTTACAAACCAATGAAAAACGAAGATTGGGGTGTTTATAAGATTCAAAAACACGTTGAAATTGTGCTAATTTTGACTTTCAAAATAAAAAAAAATACTTTACGTTATTGTAGTTATGATATATTTTTTGAATAAATTTATTCTTGGTACGATTTTTGGGCGAACTAATTCTTGTCCAGAGAGACGAATTATTTAAATATACCATAAGTTAAATAATAATATACGAGGGTTGTCCCAGAAAAACGCGAACTTTTTAAATATTTCATAAACTACCTTACCAAAATTATTCATTTTTAGCACAATGTTGGGAAATGATATTTTCGTCCTTTTTACCAAATACTGTAAAGTTGGATTGTCATATGCATTTAGAAACAGCATTTAAAGGGCGTTAAATATCTGTGGTCGGCGCACGGCAATTTTTTGACTTTCAGAATTAACATTGCCGTCTAAATTTTTCTTTATTAGAAGGCTATACGGAAAAATAATGTAACAAAAATTACATCCATAGAAGCTGTACGATCTAAAGTACTTGTGTGTAGTGAAAAAAAATAATACTTTGACATCATAAATAACAAAAATATGACGTTATATGACAAAACACTATTAGTTAGATATTGTCAAAAACGGCGGCGTCGGGCGATAATGCGGCGCACCAAATTATCACTCATTACTGTGTGGAGCGGGGTATGACTCCTGTTCATACGGGAAAAGAGCTGGGAAAGAGGGAACGACACAAACACATGTATCGAACACTGGTTTATACATGTACCTAGTAAAAGAGGTTAAAGATGGATGGACTGGTTGTCCGATGGAAGAAGCGTTTGGTAGACCAACAAAAATGACGACAGACTGAAGTCTAACGCTGGACGTCATACGTGGAGACCGTTGTTAACTATGCGAGTAGTTAAGTTTATAATCGGGTTGGAAAATTGTCTATTATAAGAATTAATTCCTTGATTTATTCTTAACTGTAGTTCGCGTGAAATGGATAACTTAGTAAATAAAAATAATCAAATGCAGTTTCGAATTTCTGCTTCGAACGAATTTTTAAAGACGCACGATTCCAACAAATCCAAAAACTCCACGAGCTACGTTTTGACGTCGTCGGTGTTGCGTCGGGAGCTACTTTGAATGAGTGATTTATCAGAGAGAAAAATGTTATTTATAGAGATATTTTATTGAAAATTCTGTGAATTATGTAAAAAATGTTGATTATAGTGCATGCCAATTTTTAACTTTATAATATTAGTGAAACGAAAAATATTGAAAAAGTTCGCGTTTTTCTGGGACAACCCTCGTATATTTATAAACATTAAGTTCTGAAAAACGCGAAATTAATACATTGTTTGCTCCACAAATTTGCAAGTCCTCTCGGATCTCACCTCAATTTGCTTTCACACTAAATGCTTAGAATTTTACGTGAAGAAATAAGCAAAAATTAGTTATTAATTGTCATGTCTGGATCAGCATCATTCACTAAATGTCACTTTTAAACCTTTACTGAATAAAGTAAAAAAAATCATCTCTGCTGGACGAAACAGATTTAACAATTATTGATGTCATAATGCTAATAAATTCTAAAGTATATTATTTATACTGTGGTATCTTATTATTTCATAATCATGCTCCTTGGTGGTTATAACTGTTGCTTTGCTGTCTGCTTATCAATTCTGTTGAAAATGCAGATGCTGAGAATCACTACGAAAGGGTTAGACAAAAATCATGTAATTCTTGATGCAGAAATTGCATTAAATGAATATATGTCTTAATAATGCCAGTAAGTACATATTCAATGCATAAGTCTGGTTTAAGTGCTATTTGATTTTACGAAAAAAAATCTTATGATTTGTTTCCTATGTCAAAATATGATGCGTAAAAGAAAACTATCTTTCCGCTAATAGCCTAATATTTTTTTAAAATCAATTTTAAAAATTTTCCATCTGTTTCATTCTATGATAGTAAATCACATTATAAAGAATAGATTTAATAGTCAACATACCTTGTCATTGGTCATTTGCAAAATTATTTTGTTAAAAAACATTCTACATTCTGATTGTACACACAAGTACTCTGAAGTTGACATTAAAAAGATGCTTGAGTTTCTGATTGACAATATCTATGTGGTTTTTGGAGACCAGGTCTTCCAACAATCTATTGGGATTCACATTTGGGATTCACTTGGGTACCAATTGCGCCCCGTTATTAGCAGACCTTTTTTTGTATTCATATGAAGCAGAAGTTGTCCAAAATCGTATACGTGAAAAGAAGAAAACACTTGCTGTGGCCTTCATTTAGATATACATTTAGATATATCGACGAGGTATTGTCAATTAACAATGGTTATTTCCATTCTTATGTCGATATGATATATCCTAGTGAGCTTGAGATAAAAGATACCACAGAGTCTGACACATCTGTATCATATTTGGATATTTTACTTGAAAAAGACGTTAATGGTAATCTAACAACCTTTATGATAATCGTGATGACTTTATCTTTTCAATCGTCAACTTCCCTTACTTATGCAGCAATATACCTTCATCACCTGCATACGGGGTTTATATCTTTCAGTTGATTCGATACACAAGAGCATGCTCTACGTATGTACAATTTCTAAAACGAGGTAAATTATTGACAAACAAGTTGATGAAACAAGAATATCAGCAGTCTCGTTTAAAGTCATCATTTTGTAAGTTCTATGGTCGATACAATGACCTTGTCAGCAAATACAATTTATCAATGAGTCAAATGCTGACTGACATTTTTCTTACTAATTGTTAGGCCATTATTTACACACTGAATTGTCGACGGATTTTTCCTTTATTTCCCGATCATGACAAGGAGCGGGTGTGACCGGTCGGCAGGGGATGCTCACTCCTCCATGGCACCTGATCCCACCTCTGATGTTTTGGAGGTCCGTGTTTGCTCTGCTCCTATTTTGTATTGTTTGATGGACTTTTGAGCTTAAATACTGTTCGTTATCTCCATATATTTCATCCAAGTTATACTTGTTTAACAAGGTCATGTTTCACATAATCTGCTTTGCGGTTTGTAAAATTTCCGATTTCATTAATAATTATGATTGTTTATGCATACATACATGTAAATACACGTTTTAAACTATATTAATTTTCTTGTAGTATTTAATGTAAAAACGTGAAATTATAATACTCTGTTAAGCTTGTTTAATTCCTTTTGATCTAATATTTCTTACACTTGTACAAATCGGTTGAGTTGTATCTGAATGGACACGGTGGATCCGAGTCATCGCATTTGGCATAGACGTTGTCCTGAACAATTGCCCCAACCGTATTGAATTCCGCACACTTTTGACCTACAGTTTAAACATTTTCACTCATGTGTAGAAAAACAGTTCATGTCAAATAAAGAAAAAAAAAAATATCAAAGAAATTAATTTTGTATTTGGTACTATTATCCTCATACCTTCTATAAATAGTTATAAACATTGCACGTAGCCGACTGCTGTAATGAATTTTTAATATCAAATCGTTTGTCTTACCTAATATAGAAACCGAAGGTGCGCAGACTTCAATTGTCATATTCATGTACTCATTTATTAGACAGTGGTATAAAAAGTCTTCTGGTTTAACACAAGATTGGAAGACTTTTGAACAATCTTTCTGCTTTGATTGTCTTTCCCATTCCGCTTTATTTTTAGGACAGCTTACTACATTTACTACAGTTGACAAGGATTCTGGACAACGTGACAATGCATAAACCTACATTTTAAGGAATAACAATGATTTTTTGTAAGTTGAAAGAAACTGTTCTGAGATGATCGGCATCAGTTTTGCAAGAAAAATATGTAACGCACTAAAGTGGGTTTTATTTGCTTTCTGTACTGATTTCATCATTGATTTAACCAACAAATGATAAAGTAAAATGTGGTATTTTCGATCTAAACGTTTCATAAAAGTGCGATGAAACAATCGACCTTTGCCACTTCTTAAAAAATATTGAATGCATAAAGATAGGATCTAAGTAATGTAGAAATAAAACATGGTTATTGACTAAGATACTATTAGATAGAAACTGGTTTTCAAAGGAAATTCAGAATATAATAAGTAAGTATTGAGAAATCATGATATCATGGTAGAAAATATTAAAACTAAATAAATAGCATATTTATGAACTTATATTTTTCATACATTGTTTAGTTTTAGAACCAGAACGTAGACGTGAAGCCAGACTGACAAATCCATGCCTTTACAGCTTGATAAAATTTCCTTTCACCTGTTAATTAAAAGAACATCAACGTTAGTCCCTTTTGACCATGTTTGCCTTGTCAATGAAGCACAGGAAAATTATCTTTCAATTTGTCAGGCAAGTACTATAATCAGAAAAAAAAATCCTTTTAATTAAATAACCTTTTCTTCCATATTTTATGTCTTAAAAATGCAAAATAAAAAGAAATGTGTCTTACAGTTCAAATTTCATTATTTTTTGATTACTCGCAAATTTATCGATTTAAAATTAAATTTGATCAATATATATGCATTTTTTTAAAAAAAAAATTCTGCTTTGAAAGGATCCATCTAGTTTAATATCATATTGACATGCCAGTAAATGCAAATCTATGAGACTAATTCTGTACAAAATAGCTGGCACTTTTATTTAAAAAGGATTCATAATTCATCATGATTTCAGTTAAAACCGTCAGTGTCATAATGATGAGGCACACGTTAGGGTATGTTGTGTACTTATTCAATACCGTTCAAGACTTACTAAGTTCCCAAAACAAAACAATTAACCAGCTGTAAGGCACTTCCACGGGCCGGTACACACGTTAAGGCATGTCTTAATACATGTATAAGTCTAAATCCTTACGTTTTGCAGGACGTACAGCTCTCATGTCCACACGCTAAGGCAAGACTTACAAGATTATAAACACCATTTTCATAAATTCCACGTGTTTTTCAGCCATAAACAGAGCATTCATTCATTAAAATAGAATAGATTACCAGGGCTTTGTAATAATTTTACCGACAAGTGCATTTACACTTTCTAAAAGGAGGAGTGGGTTTAAAAGAAGCAGTTGTGGACACTTTTACTATCTTGTTCGAGAGTACTTTAGTACTCGAGTTCACTTTAATCTATCCACATGTATGTTTTGATAAAAATAGATTGACATTTGGAAGAATGGTTTTCATTGGTTGAGAAGAAAATGTCAGCTAAGTCTTGTATTAAGAAATAGAGCAGTGCTCTATTCGTATGTCAGACTTTTAAGGTTCGAAAAAATGTGTATTAAGGGTGTACACAAGGTTAAGTTCTATGACTTATAAGGCAAGCCTTACTGTGTGTACCGGCCCTAGACGCATCTAGGGAAAGTAAGGCTTTTTTTAGGAACTGTTATTAAAAATAGAAAACAGGTCTGATTCACTTCATGTAGTTATGTAATTAACAACTTAACAAACCTTGCAAGTAAATATAACACACTCCTATTATCAGAGATCTATAAAGTTTGCTGAAACAGAATCAATAAATGTCTAACGCTGTATTACTTTAATGAACACTCCTAGTGTATGCATATGTATTAATAGCAATAAATGTTTGGAAATCTACATTTTCTAATATTTTTTTTTTTACATTTTGATTGTTAATGCGAAGCAAATACATCACCAAATTAATGTTTTTGACCTAGCATTTTAAATATTTCCGATATACCGCACTGACACTAAAAGAATTCAAACTATATTTTCATTAATTTAACAAAATAAATGAGAAAAGAAAAGGAAAAAACCTGCATCAGGGGTTTTAAATGAAAACTCAGAATGACAAACACATATATTAGAAACCGGTATATACACAGACACTTACTGGTACAAAAAAAAATAATTCAGCCATATATAAGAATAAGCAGATCAGGGGCTGTTAGATGTACGGTATTCTAAACTTTAAAAACTATTTAGATAGCTATTTGTTAATAAGTAATTTATTTCTTGTAAAAAATTTGTTTCGATTATTAAAATCATGATAGAGATAATAGCGTACTAGGTATTTTGGAATAAGAACAAACGATATTTATGATTGCTGTTTGAACAAGTTTTTATTTAGATGAAATAAAATTGTAAAATAAATTTACCAAAAGTAAATTGAAAATGTTGTTTTATCCTATGTTTCGGAAATGTCCTAGATATCGGAAATAAATAAAAAAGGGAGAATTTAATGATCGGAGTTCACATCAATACCAGAGGAGAAAGGTCATTCAGTGAATGAGAGAGCAGAGCTATTATACAATATTCCTTTTCATGGAGTAGCTTCTGTTGTGTTCGGGTGATCCGCTGATCAATTGGAAGACTAATTTTTGGTTCAGTCAATAAGTTTTCTTCATACAAGTATATTTTCGAAAAGAGGACAGATCAGTTTCCTCTAATGGTCAATATCTTTATTGGAACACTTCTTGTATACCGGATTGGAAGGTTATATATAGATATCAAGCTCAAGTGTTTGGTAAGTCTCCCTAACCAACAACTTTACCAAGTTAAGCGCATGAAATTTTGCTTAAAAAAGCACTAGGCAGTTTTTTGTAAGCAACCGTTGCATGGATTGACCCAAAGTCAGGGGAAATGCGAGTATGGATAAATATGAATTAGTTCTAATCTTAGAAGATTATGTATACTGTAACTCTTATCCCTTGATTGCATACAAGCATCCATATTTATCTAAGTTTTTGCCAATATAAGAAGAAAATCCGAGGTTTATTTATATTTTTTTCATGGTCCACGCCTAACTGTTAATCAATATATTGTTAAAGGTCCACATGAAATTGATTAATGCGCGTTGTTTTTTTTTTTTGTTTTTTTTTTGTTTTTTGTTTTTTTTGTTTTTTTTTGTTTTTGGTCATATAAAGCATTTGGAAGCTTTTTTTTTAAGCAGAAGCTATGAGAATAAGTTCAAGGTCAGGAAGGTTTAAGATTGTATTCATATAAGAGTTCCAATCTTAAAACGATCTGATCTTATCCTACTCTATAGTATATGTTTTCTGAAGCGATGAGATATGGCGCATTGTTTACATTTTGCATAGCAACGGCAAGGGAAATAATTATTGCTCATGCGCATAATGATTTAAAATATTTAAATGTAATGTTAGACATTTTTTGTAAGAACCTATTTTTAGAATTCTGTATCTAACTAAATTTGTTTTCTCAAGACAAAAGCTTGAAGGCTTGGGCTGAAAATTTTAAAACGATATATTGTGACAATAGGTTAGCCTCAACTGCATGGACCTATGTTTCCATGCCTACTACAAATAAAATTGAAATGCTCTACATGACCCCACACTCTGAAAAACAAATTAAATTTATGTGATAAATATTTTTAAATATGATGGATGCACTCAAGCAAGACAGACAAAATATTCATAAATATCTCTATCTCTCTCTTGTCCCTCTGTATCTCTCTGATCTGTGCCTCTCTGCATCTGTCCCTCTTTTAGAATTTTGTTTAAAAGGAATGATTACTTTCATATGCCTTTAAAATGTGTAGATCTGCGACCCCTTACTGATAACAATGTATTGCCAAAATGCATTTGGGGGTGCAAAATTAGAACTGCGACCCAAAATAATTGTCTGAATGAATATATAAAGCTAACATTGCAATCCTTCAATACTTGCATTATAAATGTATCTTATACATGTCAAATTCAATCTTTTTCTATGTAATTTACACCAAAATGCTCAATGCATGAATTATCATATTATTTTTTCCAAAAGAGGATAAATTATCTACTTTCGCTTTGTAAAATCTATTATTTATGATTTTTATAATCTTCAATTTTTGTTTAATTTTTTAACCTTGACTAATATCAAAGCAGATGACAAACAGAAATTTAAAAACAAGATCTGCAAATTATTAATTGTTTGCAATATACATGTATTTGGATTTGTAATCAAATATGGCTTACCATATATCTCGAAGCTATTTAAAGAACACTTGAGTTTTTCTCATTGATCAATCGATGGTTGGATAATTTAAAGGGAGCTAACGCTCTTATCAATCCAAGGCCGTACCAATCATCAAGGCAAGTGTGAAAAATGCATCACTAATTTTTTTAATAACTTCTGAATTGTAACGGGATTAGACTTGGATTACAATGTAGTGTGGGCCCTTTTTGGGGTCGGAATATTTATGAGATTGGTATATTGTTGATAGTAAAGGGGGTCAGGGAGGAGGTCTCAATGCATTTCAAGACAGAACTAAATCGAATATATATATATATATATATATATATATATATATATATATATATATATATATATATATATATATATATATATATATATATATTATCATGCATGTTTATTTTTTTTTTTCAAAAACTTATTCAGATGAAGCAATCTATGTGATTTTAGTTATATTATATTAATCAATATTCAGAATGTATAAAATACATGGTTACTGTCTTGAAATATAAGCGATATTTGGGCAAGGGTTAGAAAACATGATCTAGAGGGAGAGGCGTGCCGAGCCCTCTGTCACGTTCTCAACCCGAGCCCAAATATCGCTTAAATTTCAAAACTTTGTTTATATCCTGCAATATATGTTTTTTTCTATTTGACGTCCAAAACGACCGAGCTATTTTCAACAGATTTAGGCACATTTCTGCAGTTGAAACTATATAATGCCATGGCGTAAACATTGCAATATACATGTATAGGACGTCAGAATGCTTTTAGAACGTCCGGATACATGCACGAGGCTTTATTGGAGCATTGAACGA